AGAGCCATGATCTTCTATGAAAAATATAACATTAAAAAATTGAACGCTGATAAATAAGATCGTTTTGTAGCCCAATTTGCAAATACAATGAATTCTCCCTTCGAACCAAGTCGCGCATAAAAATAATTATATGTTTATGAAAGTTTTCTGGGTAATTGAACGACAGGTTCCACTCAAACAATAAACTATTTTATTGCGTATGGGGCACATTTACGAAAACCCTCACGAAAACTCTGCTTCTCTATTACAACGTTCGTTCATGGGGGCAGGTAGCGTAACGATTACCAGTGTAGAAAATGGAATCCAGTCACGTTTGTTGCGGTCAAATTTCACTAATGCCCTTGGGAAAGGTATAAATCCACTCGTCGCTTACCACGAGTTAAATAGCACGGCAAATTCGGCTATCTCGCCTTGGGTGGCAAACACGCTAGAAAGACAACTATGCAAGGCGAATTCTCTGGGCGTAGATCTGGACGTTTCGCACAGTAAAAGTCTGCTTACTAACAAAACCACAGCAATAGCACTTTTACGTATTGTTATCGTGACCTTGTACTCAAAGAGTATTGAATTCCAAAATCTAAAATGGAAGCTATATATCATTATGCACCTACACAATGAATCGCAAAAGATTAAAGCAAATGTATTTTATAATCACATTCAAATAATTTATGTCAAGTAAGAAATATCAATGCAAAACTGTTTTTTTTTGTTTTTATGCATATAATATTATTAAATCTTTCATAAAGGTTTCTTTCATAACTGAAGATTGACAGCTTTATTGTTTTAAATGTTAACTTTCCAAAATACTAAAAGTAGCTTTTTCTATAATAAATTGTACATGAAATAACAATAAATATTAAATAACGCACTTGTGCACGAAACCATATTATTTGGCACCGTCAACATTTAGTGTAAAGATTAGGAGAAATAATTGAAGTGGGATGAGACTTAAAACAATTAGCGATGATAAAAAAAAAAACCGACACACTGTTTCTTAAAATAAAGCGAGAATTCAAATGTAATCGCTAGTAAAATATATCATTAATTATGACTGAATGGGTTCTTACCGCCATAATTTTATGTGTCACTACATAAAAATCATTAGAATATATAAGATTGTTGATTATTTGGTTAGTGATATCTGTGTTATTGGAACGGTTAGTTAGAACACATCTTTCACGTATTAATCTATAAATATATTTGCTGGCTTTCATATCGTACAAAAAATTACCAATCTTAAAAAAAAAAAAAGTCATACATATGTAAATTTCATGTTACGTGCATGTAAGTGCTGAAAATTTCGCGGTCGATTTTTTTTTAATTGCTTAACCATTTGGTATAATTTTACCGTGTTGATAACTTTGCTAAATGCATCATCTAAAAAACATCGAATTATGCATTGATATTTATATGGGAATTCTCTTGTGCATAAAACAAGATATTTACTTAACTAATGAAAATATATGTCTATAATTTTGAGATGAGGAATTAAGTAGAGTATTTACATTATTTGGACTATTGTCCTCATCTTTGTCGCACAGTAGATAAAGGCGTTGGTTAGATCCAGTGACAAACAGTGTGAGTTCAATACTCGGCTAAAACAGTGGAGAAATTGGAAAGGGGAATTAACAGGAGATAACTGATAACTGACATCCATTACAAATATGACACGTGGAACTAGAACAGTCTACCCCAGTGAGCGAAATAAAGGGTTCAGATTGACATTCCAATCACCTGAAGAAGGCCGGAGCGTACAACGGCCGAAACTTTGTAATAAATAAAGCGACAAACCGATTAATGTAAATAGTTTAATAAAAATACATTCCACTTTTAATTCATTAAACTATAAGAACAATTTTGTGTCAATAAATCTCCGGTCTTCCATAACACATCCAAACTAGACAACCACATTAATTGGCTCAATATTCCCATTAAATATTAACAAGTCATGAAAAGAATCTTATTCTTTTAAGGAGCAAAACGCTCATGAACACAACGTTTTATTGGTTTCTAAATTTACATATTTCTTTTTTGTCAGTGAGAAGGAAATGCCTAAAATGTTTTAAGTCTTATATGTATAGAACATTCTGATTTTTACAAGAATATATATTTTAGATAACTTTCGTAAAATCAGTATTCTATAGATTCAATTCAAATTTCCTGAAATTTAACAAAATTACTAACTCGGCCCACTTGGCAAAATGGTAAAGAAATTTATAAATAATGGTTCGGCTGAGAAATCTTCAGCACTTACATGCACGTAATGTCAAATTTAAAGTTTTTTTTTTTTAGGTTAAGTTTGTTGTACGACATGAAAGGCGGCAAATATATTCATAGCTTAATACAAGAAAAATGTGCTCCAATTACCTATTCATATATCAAAGATATCCCGAAGCAAATGATCAACAAGTTTATTTATTCTAATGATTTTTATGTAGTAACGCAAAAAAATTTGGGGGATGGAAAACATTCAATCATAATTAATGATTTATCAATCGAATCAACAATTGAAATTGATTTCAAGTGTAAACCCAAGCTTTTCTATTTTTCAATATATATATATATATATATATATATATATATATATATATATATATATATATATATTATTTTCAGAAATGGGAAAGTGCAAAACTATTCCGGATTATTATAGTTTAAAGATTTTAACATTTGCTAGCTCCAGTAATCCACTAGTCAAATAATTCTTCTTTTCCTTTTGCATGATGATCCAAAGAAATTTTAATCTGGATATACAAATTATTACAACAACTATTGCCGTTTATAAAACTAATATTTAATCTATATCAGGGTAAAATGATGCCTTCTTTTTCCTTACTTTTCGAACTTTTTATTTAAATTCGTATTTTTCTGATTTCAAAAAAAAAACACAAGGAAATATTTCAACATATTTTCACTTGTCAAATGATAGTTCATAATTTGTAATTAGATATATGGGGAAGAAAGAAGGCACCACATTAAAATGACACCAAGTGAATATGGGTTAAACGAACACATACATTTTCTTATATATTTTAAACTTTTTCATAAATGCAATATTGTTTTGATTTCAGATAAAAACATGAACATTTTGAAACATATCTCTGTGAAATTTTCCTTTCCAGAATTATAGTTTATAATTGCAGTTTAAATATTGGTAAAAAAAAGAGAACAGAAGGCGAGATTGACGCTAGGAGGTTATGGATCAAAATGACGCCTTATTATTTCTTTATATATATATTTTGCAAAATTACATATTTTCTTGATTTCAGATAAAAACATGAAAGTTTTCCAACTGATTTCAGTAAAATTTCCACTTGCCAAAATAGAATATATAATCATAATTTATATATATATATATATATATAAATGGTGCCTGTTGAAACTGACACCAGCATGATATAGGTTAATGGTATTTAGAAAGTCTTTCTAAGTAACCAAGAAAATATATGGATAAAAATAACGTTACATTGATTTTATTTCGCTGATCCAAGAAGTGGCGAGGCCTAGCTTAGGAAATCAGTACTTACTATTTTCAATTAAATCATGTCTTAAACACCAATTTCTAACACTAGCTGGGTACAAACCACCCTAAAATGTTCACATGTCTCCAGTAAAGAATGAATATAAAAGATCGGCAATTTGACATAGACGACTTCATTGAGCCTAGAAAAATAGTTCCCCGCCTATGGAATTAACACCAACAAGGAACCGCTAAGGGACATACACTTTTTATATGAAATACATGGCAACGAAAAATCTACGGAAGCACGGATTTATTTTAATTTGCGGATTTAATGTAACTATATAAATAATTTCTTGGCGAGTGTTTTAGTCGATATTTTTTAGTTTCATTACATCCCGAGACTAGATTATGAATTATTAAATTGAAAGTGAGCGAAATAAAGGGTTCAGTTCGACATTCCAACAACCTGAAGAAGGCCGGAGCGTACAACAGCCGAAACGTTGTAATAAATATGGCGACAAAGATGAGGACAATAATCCGAATAATGTACATAATAACTCATCTCAGAAATATAGACAGAATTATAGAATTGTCTATCTATCCATCTATCAAAGAGGTTAATGACATTGTGATAACTGAAGTTAAACCTCTTTAAGCAGGTACCACTGGGACAGGCCACTGAAAATGCTGGATAACTAACATCACCCATCAGAAAGACATATGTAAACATAATCTTGGCAGCTCATTCCACATGCACGATCGTCGTGTTTTCAAAGTTAGAACAAATCTTAAAACAAGAAAAGAAGTGAGTAAAGATTCTGAAGAAGGTTTTTATTGTTTCATGCAGTTAGTCCATCTTTTCAAGTAGAGGTAATGATTTATGTTTACGTTGCTTACCTCAGGCAGCGTCATCTGCAACATCTACTCACTGAATTATTAAATATGCAGCTAAATATATGATCGATTTCGTATCATCAACAAAGTCTGTTAATGTCGGCTACAACGAAATTTTATCAGTATGTAGCAGTGCACTCGTATCCACTCGTCGAACTGGAATTTGCATTTGCCAGATCACGGAACACCAGAAGGCGAACTGTATAATCCACCAACTTATAAAGTCAGTGTTCAATTAAAGTGAAATGCATGCATTCTATATCCAGTGATTTAAGATAATTTGCGTGTCAATTCCAGTTTCAAAACGTATAAAACCTGTTCAACGTCAAATAAAAATCGGTATATTTCCACATATTTCTACATTCTAATGATAACCGACATTTAATGAAGATTTTATATTTATCCAGCAAATATTTCGCTAGTCTATTGATCAAGTGGAATCGTTTTTAAATAATCGGTACTTGACTTTTTTTTTTCTTCTCTGAATTCCTGGTACTTTGTTGGTGTAGATGTTTTCTTTTGAATCTTGAGTCAGAAATGAAGAGTAAATAATATCCAGGTTTTGAGTGTCGCACTTCACATTTTGAGGACTAACTTAAAAATATGATAACATATTTCGAGTCTGCGAATTATTGAAAGCCTCATGTCTGTCTGTCTATCTATCTATCTAATTCTTTTTAATATTTATAATTATATTCATATCTATCCCATTCTATTCATAATTATCTATATATTTGTCTCTCTATCTTATTCTCCTCATATCTATCTCATTCTCTTCATATCTATCTATCTATCTATCTATCTATCTATCTATCTATCTATCTATCTATCTATCTATCTCATTCTCGACATATCTTCATATCCTATCTATCTATCTGTCTCATTCTCTTCATATCTATCTATCTATCCATCTATCTATCCATCTATCTATCTATCTATCTCATCATTCTCTTACATATCTATCTATCTATCTATCTCATTCTCTTCATATCTATCTATCTATCTATCTATCTATCTATCTATCTATCTATCTCATTCTCTTCATATCTATCTATCTATCTATCTATCTATCTCATTCTCTTCATATCTATCTATCTATCTATCTATCTATCTAATTCTCTTCATATCTATCTATCGATCTATCTATCTATCTATCTGTCTATCTATCTCATTCTCTTCATATCTATTTTCTATCTCATTTTCTTCATATCTATCTATCTTATTCTCTTCATATCTATCTATCTATCTATCTATCTATCTATCTTATTCTCTTCATATCTATCTATCTATCTATCTATCTATCTATCTATCTATCTATCTATCTCATTCTCTTCATATCTATCTATCGCATTCCCTTCATATGTATCTATCTATCTCTCTCTATCTCATTCTCTACATATCTATCTATCTATCTCTATACCTATCTCATTCTCTTCATATCTATCTATCTATGTATCTATCTATCATGTTCAGTCATAAGTAATTTCTGTTTTGGGAAACCAGTTGTAATGGCGATTGTATAATCTTAAAGACTTCTCATACGTGACAGTTATAAATAAATTTGGAAAACACTAACCTACCTTAGTTTTTCCAAGAACAATGCAATTTGGAACACGTTTGGTTTGCTCCACCGTACCAGCCATATTCAGCTGAACTTGCACCAATCGGTAATTACTTTTACAATTGCTGAAAAATGCTTTGATGGTGAAACCTTCGCTAATGAAAACCAGATCCAAGAATTCATTGAAAACATTCTCACATCACAACCTGCGAAAATTTAATCAAAATGTACCGAACTGCCGCCTGAGAAGTGGTAACATGTCATTCCACATAATGGTGAAAACATAATTAAATAAAATGTAACTGTCCTTTATTTTCTGAAGAATAAAATTGAGAAAGAAATAGAGATATTATTTAAGACGAAACCTAATATCTAACTTATATAATGTCTTATATAGCAATGAGAAATTAGTGTGCCTAGCTTTTAGCTTTTCACCTGTGTCGATTGATACAGAGTAATTTATAAGAATTAATCATCAGCTATTCAAACTTTAATTCCTGGGCTTTTCTCTCTTTCACTTATTTTTATCATTTATCATTACTCACTCACTAAAGTCTCTTTTGTTATCGTTTCAGGCTTCTCCGTTTTTCTTCTAATAATATATTTTCTCTCTATCTATCTCTCTTTCTTCCCTTTCTCTCTTTTTTTCTCTCTCTATCATGGATTTCTGTTTTCCTCTCCCTCCTGCCTTTTGCGATTTATTATTCTTTTCTTTCCTAAAGTGTTACCGCGATGGAAGGAAGCTATAGCCTCCAAAGAGACGGAAATTCATTGTTGTCAATCTTAAAAGGCCGATACAGATTAAAGGGATTATCAAGTCGAACGATAATGTCGACAGATGGTTCTCGTTGTTAAGAGATACGAGGAAGATCAATGAGAGGCGCTCAACATAGCCTGAACCATAGAAGCCATTTAGAACTGCGCCAATGCCGGCTAAGCAATCCATTCCCCAGATTTTGTTCGTCAAATCGGCTTTTAAGCGCTACAGTTAATACAATGTATACAGTTATTATAATGTAATGCAGAGCACTTCGATACTGTCTGAATATTGGTACTCACTACTTAATTCTTGTAATTCTTATTATTTTCCTGCTTTGAATACTACTTCTGCTATTACTATCGGGAGGAGGTACGGTGGATAGCGGCTCGGATTGAGGAATCGGAGAGTCGAGTTCGAATTCCTATCGAATACATTACATTCACTTACGTGCTAATACGTTTAGGAAAAGTAGGAATCCTCTTCTAACGCCAGCTATGGATAAATAGCAGGACTGACTTGGATGCAACTGGTCTACCGCAGAAAGAAATGTCAACTTACTGTGGGCAGAAAAATCTGCCTTTTGCGATTTATTGCATACTACATAGTTGATTGCTACTTGTTAGTGCATAATTATCAGGCGTTTTTAAACGTTACTTATTATGAAAAAAGAAACATAAAAATCCTTCACTAACATTTTAAACGAGTATAATTAACACGTATTTTTGTAACCTGAAAATAAAATAATATTTTTATTAAAAAAAGTAATAAACAAAAGAGCAATTTTATTAACAAATAACTCGCCTACAAAAACGTCTGATAATTATGCACCAACTCAATACTAATGTGTGATGATGATGATGATGATGATGATGATGATGATGATGATGAGAATGCAGTGGTGGACATTTAGTTTGACGAGGCAAACGAATGGAAAATACACCAGAAATTAAAAAGTGAAAATATCCGTAAAATGAAAACTATTTTGTGATTTCGGTATTCAAATGTATCATCCTATTGATACTAGTTGAGATTAGACGTGTTCAAGGTAAAAAGATAGATAGATTAAGGCAAAAAGATATATAAATCAAGGTAAAAAAGACAAATAAATCAAGGTAAAAAGACAGATGAATCAAGGTAAAATGTAAAACGATAGATAATGCCATCCCAGGAAGCCACAGCATAAAGTAAAACACATGAAGCGTCAGAAAATGGACATGCTAGAGAACAGACAATGTCTAGCATGAAATCCTCCCGTTTTATAGGATAAATAAATCCAATGTTAAAACATATGATTGCCAGAATTCTCTCTCAAAATCTCTCTCAGTCTCGCAAGCTACTTACGCTCTATACTGCTTAGAGATTATTTGGGTATCCTTTCCATGTAGATCAAGCTTTCCTAACATATGAATGTGCTCTACTACTCCTGCTATTGCTGTTATGACTGTTTACTTCCTATTTATAGCATACTGAGGATTTTTTCTATGAAGTTCAATCTCCCCTAACATTACAATAAACGACGACTACTACTATTGCTAAATATACCACTATGAATAATATTAATAATCATAATATGTTGGATTGATTATGCAGATGAATGCAAAATACTAGATTTTTAACATGCAATTACATTAAAACTCTAAAAAAGAAATGTCTTTGAATATAAATTCAGACATTTCACTATCCAATAATAGAGATTAGGCGTATCCTTTCCATGTAGATCAAGCTTTCCTAACATCTGAAGTTGCACTACTACTCCTGCTATTACTGTTATGACTCAACAAAGAAAAGGAAACATATCGAATAAAAAAAAAGGATGTTATTAGATCTCAGATTAAATTAAAAACAGTGAAAATCTGGAATATTTCCGGAAGTTAATAGAGAAATGAATATCTGTAACATGATACCTTCCCTTTTCAGATGTTAAATGAATTTAGTGAGAAAATTCATCAATGTTGTACTCCCCGTTTTAATGCGTTCGGTACATCGTAAATTATTTACTCCCAATATGGTTTAAGGATTATCGGAATATTTGTTCTGTGTAGATGATGCTTATCTTATTTTTCAATGAGTTCTTTTTGTTGTCCACTTTCTATTTTATCTCTGAAAGCATTTGTATATAACTTTTTACTCTGATAACATTATTGCACCGAAAATTCAATTTCTCCTGTCACAGAAAAGTAGTATTTTGTCGGTGTAATTCTGCTAAAAATCTATATTTGTTAGAATTCTCATTATTAGTTTCGCTATAGGATATATTAATCTGATTGTTCAAAGGTGTTTTCTGTCATTTTCACCTTTGGCAGCGCCTGTAAATATAAATCGATTCAGGTCTTCTAGCATATCATTGGTGTCGTATATTTATTCTTCCGTAAATTCGTTACGGTAGACAGAATCGTTATTACCATCCCCTCAAGTCATGGCTCATTATACATTTCTGTAATGGCCAGTGATGTTTTAAGTTCGATTTTAGTATTATGAACGCTCTAAAAATGTTTACTATCACGTATCATTCATAATTCTGAAGTACGTTTATATATTATAGCTTATTTTCTGTTTCGTAGGAAAAATCATCTATGCATGCATTTACTTTTTTTTAAATGTATTGATGCAATCTATTTCGACTTGCATCCTGATGAAAAGTACTTTATTGTCCTGTTACACACCTGAGCTCTGAAGTTTTTCTATCCATATAACTTTTTCTTTTTCATTTCTTTACACCAATTTCTGACAGTATTGTCAACCTTGTTTCATAATAGTATTAATAATAAACCTCATAATATAATATTGCATCTCAGAATCAAAGCCTCGCAATTAAATCCCATCACTGTCACATAATCAAGGATGGAATTGACCCGAAATGCAGGATCTGCAAATAATATGATGAAACTCTCGACCATATTATCTCAGGACATCTAGAACTAGCAAAAATGAATATAGCCATAGACATAACCAGGTAGCGACTGATGTGCACTCGGGGAGATGCAAGAAGGACAAAATGAAACCAATGCGAGTTTGCATGAGCATCAATCAGACGCCATTAACAATAATAACGATGTAACTATCATCTGGGACATGTCAATTCAAACTGCTAAGAAACATAAACGCCAACAATCATGATATTATCATAAAATACAAGAAACTCAGGAAGTGTATGCATATTGAAATGGCAGTATCGCCCACAAGCAACACAGCCATGAAGATCGAGAATTACAGGATGTGGGAAATGATGACTGAGACTGTAACAATACTAATTAGAGCACTTGGCATCGTAAGAAAAGGAATAGACAATTTTACTAAGAGTTTCCCAGATAACATTAACATACATGCTGCCCAGAAGATCGCCCTACTAGGCACATCATATATACTAGGGAAAGTCCTATCAATTAAGTAACAATTTTTCCTATAGGGACTAAGGACAATAGTTTGGGCCCGTTTCTACAGGATACAACGAAGGAAACATAACATACACAAATAATAATAATAATAATAATAATAATAATAAGTTTTATATATTGGGACAATCATTAAGAGCCGAAAATAACCAATTTGATTCGTACGCGAAGTCGAAAAGTTTATGCAGCTTAAATCGTTTGTTACATATTTCTACTTAAAACAGAAGTTGACTTTAGACAGAACCTATACAAACTGGATAAATGTAAAAAAAAATGTAGAAATACACCGAATTCTTCTTGTGAGTCAGTTGAACTACATCGTTTTGTGCTTAATGAAATTAAATTAGTTTTTATAAATGTGTTTCTGGATGTTATAGAATAGGGCAAGTTTTTCAAAGCTCAAATTCATTGGGGGCATATAGGCACACATTCATCCATTATTGATATAATTGTGATACATTCGGAAAATAAAAAAGACAATATATTTGATAAATGATATGTTTAATCCTGTGATAAATTATTATTTTATTATCAAATTAAAAGAAAATTTAAAAGAAATATATGTGATTCCAATTCGTTTAACACGTGAAGTGCAATAAAATGATTTCACTACATCTGCAAACAAATTCATTCTTTCGAAATTTGATTTGATGTTACAATTCTGTTTGCTTTGGTAAGGTGCAAATAAATCTTGGCGAATATGAACAACATTAATTAATATATTATATATGTTAGTGAAGTGAATAAGCGTTTTAATAGTTTTTATGTTATTTTATTTGACTGAATAAGATTATTCGAATACGGTCATGAATACGAGACGTTTTATCGCCGAAAACTTCATAGGTTGCTCCACCCCCTGGTAAACAGGAAGCGTGTAGTGACTTTGACGTTTAAAATCTTGTGCATAGGAATGGTTGAAAGCAGAAAGTGAGGGGAAGATAAAAGAGTGAAAGGAAGGAAATGGCGAAGAAAGGGGAAACGGAATAAAAAAGAATAAAGAAAATGGTAAAGTTAGAAATCGAGAGGAGGAGAAAAAATGAAAGAAAAATGAAATAGGGCCAAAAATATAATGCTAAAGAGGAAAGAGAGAGAGAGAGAGATATTGAAATGGAAGTTTGAAGCGAAGGGCGAAAGTAAAATAAACAGAGGCAGTCGAATGGCGCCAAAAGAAGTGTGAAAATACTGTTTATAGAAAGAATGGCAATTGCTGGCAGGCAGAACGTAATGAAACAAAAACTAATTAAGGAAGGCTAACGGGACATCAATACATAATGAAAATAAAGACATTTCCTTCAAAAGGAAAATAAGAGATCAACAAAAAAGAAAGAAAATCATGAAAGAAAGAGACAATACAAAAAAGAAATCTGGAATAAAGAAAGACAGAAAGAAAAGAAATAAATCAAGAAGGAAAACCAAAAGAAATCCGAAATAAATGAATAAATAAGCAAATAAATAAAAATAAATCAGGAACGAAAATAGACAGGATTTTTGGAGCGAAAGTAGACAGATAAGAAAAAAATGAGGGCAATAAATGTAGAAAGAGGAAAATTCAGAGGGAAAGCAGAAAGGTAAAAAAAAAACTAGAGATATAAGGATACAGAAATAATGAAAGAAGCAAGAAAAAACTATTAAAGAAAGCGGAGAAGAATGAAGGGAGAGTAGAAATGAAAAAGAAAGACAGAAAGAAGGAAAAGCTAGAGAGATGATATATGATAAAGCACACACACACGCACAGACACATACACAAACACAGACACACACACATATATATATATATATATATATATATATATAGAGAGAGAGAGAGAGAGAGAGAGAGAGAGTAGGTGAGAGAAAGAGAGTATGAGATTCGCACATACACACAAACACACTCGTGTGTTTGTGTGTTGTGTGAGTTTGTGTGTTGTGTGTCTGTGTGAATATCTCTGTCTCTCTCTCTTTCATATATATATATATATATATATATATATATATATACGCACACGTATGTATGTATATATATATATATATATATATATATATATATATATATATATATATATATATATACGATATGTATGTGTGTGTATACAAAGAGAGAGAGAGAGAGAGACCATTCATAGGAACAGGTAGAAGCTAGAGGAATAAGGTCATTTTCATATTAGATTATTAATATAAAAAAAGAAAGAAATATGAATTTAAAGGAAACTCTGAGACTTTGCACGCGATTACTTTCTCCTTTTCAGAAAATTCATCTTAAAAACTAAAATTGATAAAAGAGTTATTATTCAAGGGCACATTTTCAATAGCACAGGCTACTTAGATGACACATGGTTGATAGCAGAGACTGACAAAAAAACTTCAGAAACTCCAAGGTAACGTAGTAACGTGGGAAGAAAAATGTAATCAGCAATTGTAAGGCGGGGAAATATATGCTGGTGAAGATGTACCTAATCTTGCGGAACAAAACTTTAAAAACGGAAATCTGTTTGAAGGTCTTCTTAGGGTTGTCCTCTGCTAAATTAGACTAAATTTAAATATCTGTCTTAATTTATGGGTTGAGGAGTCATCATTATTTACATTCGAATTAATATCCATATCATTGTTGTTATTATCACAATCTTGGAATCTAAGGATCTTCTTCAGTTGTTTGTTGATCCGTTTAAGCTTCAAGAAATATCGGACAGAAAATTTATTTACTCTAAGTGGGTAAATTTTTCTCACTCCGGGCTTCATGTGTAGGGATATCTTGTCCTCTTCATTTTTAATGCTACTCAGTTGCTGTCTCTAATGATTCTAAATTTCTAATGCTTAGCACAGGTTCAACTCAAATTTTATATGCCACAACATCCACGAACTGATAATTTAATCCACTAAGCTAGAAATTCCAGTCATATGTAATGTTCTTATTGGCTCCTCTGCGGTAGGTTATGTTTGGCTCAGTGGGCCGATATAACTTTTCTATACTGCTGCGCCTGAAACTTTGCTGTAAATCTTGACTCACCCTAACGTCGTTAGTAAATATCTATCTATCTATCTATCTATCTATCTATCTATCTATCTATCTATCTATAGAATTTTTTAAACATTTCACCCAAAGCAAGGTGGGAATGATACTAGTAAGCAAGCGGCTATAGAAAGTGTAAGGGTAAATCTGGGTGTAGCGGAGGTGGGGAGAAAGATAGAAAGTGGTACGGTGAGTAAGGCAACATTACATTTAAATTTTTGAAGATTATAGTTATAAGGGAAGCAAGTATGTGGAAGAGACTTCCACTGTCGGGAAGTGCGAGAGAAGAAGATTCTAATGGTGTAGAAGAGCAGGTTATATTCAACTGTTTCGACAGTAAAAGAGTGGGACCGTGAGGGCAAACTAGTAGCGTGCTTAAATTCATGCAGTCCCGGTACTAGTGAAAATATTTCCTCAGAGCAGATGTCATGAAAATATGTATAGGTTAGATCACATTACGCCGATGAGAAAATGACTGGAGTCAAAACCCCAAGTCAAGCCCGATCACATTGCATATTTGTTTTTGGATTTTGTCGAGAACCTTGAGATGAACATATATGGCAACAGTATTCCATGCATGGACGAAATGTTAATATATATCTCTCACTTCTATACCTCTTTCATCATATATATATATATATATATATATATATATATATATAAAAGAAAGAACAGTAAGATATATATATTGATATGTTTATTTTTACAAAACAGTGCTCAGTTTAAATTTACAGAGCATAAATATTATAAATTAACTGGTTTAAAATATATTTTTTCGCTACATAGTAATAAACATGTTTAAAAAATGGAAGCTAAAAACTTCAAATTTAATTTTGTAATTAAATTTAAAACATTAATTCCATTTCATCTTCAAGCGAATTTTGCAGTAACCTATTTTTTAAAAATTTACTGAGTTTTAAACGCACACATAACTGATAGAATACAAGTTAATAAAATGAACACGCTACCACCGCTTGTCTGAATGACTGGATTTCTCTGTATCCTTGGAAACAGTGAATTATGAATTTTCAATTACCAGCTAGACGTTTTTTTTTTGTTTTTTTAAGAAGAGTGTTGCCGGCTATACGTGTTGGAAAATATAATATTACCAGCTATACGTTTTTTGAAAAAATAATATTACCAGCTATACGTTTTTTTGAAAAAAATAATATTATCAGCTATACGTTTTTGAAAAAATAATATTATCAGCTATACGTTTTTTGAAAAAAATAATATTACCAGCTATACGTTTTTGAAAAAAAAAAATATTAGCAGCTATATATTTTTGAGGAAAAAAAAAATATTAAAGGAATACATTTTTGACAAAACAAAAGTATTTCCAAGGAAAAAAAAAAAGTTGTCGGCATTAAATGCCCCATTGAGGTTGATGTGCCGTAAAACAAACCAAACCAAACCAAACCAAACCAAATTAGTATGCGGAAGTGGTCATCTTTTTTATTTTCAGCATCATCTTTTGAAATATAACACAGAGGCGATATATCGGAAGATCCATTTTGATAGCGCTGCCTAAGAAGGCAGGAGTAAAAGAATAGGAATCTCATCAGACAATCAGCCAAATACACTCCATAAGAAAACTAATCACCCGAATATTGATTAATAGAGCGTGGAGCAGAAAACAGGAAATATGACAAGAACAGTCAAGTTTCGTTAAAGACGGAAAAAGGAATTGTGATATCTCGGATTAAAATCAGAATGAGCAATAACATTGCAAAATGTTGTATACCTATGTTTTATAGTTTAGTTTAATTTTTACTTTCGCTTGTGCTGGTAGGTGTCGCGGTGAGACACAGTCGTCTGTTAGCGGCAACGCGTGTAGCCTGGAGGAGAGATATCTCCAGGTCTCTGAGAGTGCCTGCATCTAAATACCTCTAGCTTCTTCTTCATCTGCCTCTCGCTCTCCAGCCAGAGCACCGAAGGGTGTATGCTCTTAGGCCGGGTTGGTTGATAGGCATACGAGTGAAGTGTCCGTATTACTTGATCTTCCCCTCGTCCTGGTCATGGGAGGTGGAAACAGGTAATGCAAGCCAACGTGACAATGGTGAACCTGTGACTGGCTTTGCAGGCAGACAGTGGATAAAAATTGCTCAAGGAAACAAAAGGATGTTTTATAGATTATACAAAATACGTCACAACCAACTTTTGGAAATGGTTGTTAAACTTTATATAACACTGGGAGCAAACAGCATGCATACGCATAGAAAATGGATTCATTAAATATGTAAATTACAGAACAGAAGGCTGTGCCTTTGCACTTGACTTGTTCAACATATATAATGCGATGACTGAGAGAATTAGAATTTCTATGAAGATAAATTATTGGAGGCTACAATCTTAAAAAGTTAGATATGCAAATGACACAACAAAATGAGGAAATACAGAAATACACGAATAATAAGGAAATACAAGAACAAAACAGCAAATACAGCGACACCTACAGGGGTCAAAGAAAGTGAGAACATAGAACTAAAAATCATGTAGAAGAAGACAGAATAAAAAAATAAGTTATCCTTAAAACAACGAACCGAATATGTGAATTACAATCTGTAGGTGCCAAAATCAAGTTGGTACAAAAAATTACATTTAACGATTACTATCATGTGACATCTGTCGTCCTATATGACTGTAAATGCTGGACAATCTCATCACCGATGATAAAAAGACATGTCGTTGTAATGTGATTAAGGAAAAGGACACTGGGAATATCATGGACATAACAAGTGTGTAATGACAATTTTTTCGACAAACTGGAAGCAAAAAGGATACTTAAACTTGAAACTTCTAGGGCAAATGAGTAGTTAAGATGTGTAGGAATAAGAGACCGGTAAGCGTTGGATTGTTCATTCAATGACAGGAAACGCGTGTTTAGGCACTTCAAGGCGGTGTAATGGTTAGCAAGTTTGTCTCATTACATCGGTTACGACTGAATAGTGAGTTCAATTCTCAGTGGGTGTTCCTTACTTTTGGCCTTGTGTCACACGTAAGCTACGCTTAGAAAAACAACATTTTATCAAGGAATACTTAAAGTAATGAAGGTATAAAACCTAACAGGAACATCCCTATTTGAAGACAGACAAAACTAGAGTCGAAATCCAAAATATTTGGTAAACCAAAGCAAGAGCTGTAAGTAGTATTGACATGTATTTAATACAGCTGAATACTGTATAGAAAATAGAGATTAAAAATCCACCTAACCATCGGCCTTTTTCTTTCTTCCGTTCAGTATAACTACCTCAATGAATATCTAGGCTCGTGAAAAGATTACATCCATTACAACAATAAGTTCGTTTTATTCAAAATCGTGGAGAAAACAAAACTATTAAATAGTTAAGTGCTCCTTTCAAAAATAAAAACGTATATAATTAATTACATGCAAAAATATAATTATCAGAATAAGATAAAAAAAATCAGATTTAGATTGCTAGGTAGATAGATATATTCAGATTAGGCGGGGTGATAGATAGAAACTTCAATTTTTGTTATTTTTATTTAAAATACAAACGATTTGAATGTGAATTCAAATTGAAATATATGTCCTCTAAACTCATATTTAAAACTTTACAGCGAGGTTTTCTAAAACACTAACAAGATTTGACAGGATTTACTGTAGTAGGGCACAGTTTTAACAACATAAGATACGATAATGACACACTGTTGATGGCAGAGACAAAAAAAGCAGAAATCTTTAACCTAGTAAAATTAAAATAAAAAATGGCCGTAAATTTTATGAAGACACAATATATAGTAGATGTCTCGAGAAGCAGGTCAATAAACTTTTCTTAATTGTTGATAAAACACACACACACACACACACACACGCACACACACACACACACACACACACACACACACACATATATATATATATATATATATATATATATATATATATATATATATATATATATATTTCGATAAACGTGCAATCAATTTACAAATTCATGAATTATTCATACAAAAAAACAAATGCAAAGTTTAATGATTTAATTGGCGAGAAATCCATCGTCACAAACAATTCAAATAATATACAAAAACCTCCGAATCCGTTATGAATGAAAAGATCATTGTTTCTATAAATTTCTGCTGTATTAG